TTCATTTCTTAGGCACTGTTCATTTAACTTGGGTTTTTATATCTGACATGATTAATACAATATCTATTTTTGCATTACATATATATGGGCTTTCTGAATAATTCTTGCATCAGTATGCACTTTTGTAACATGACTTAGATGTAATGCTCTCACTTGTTTCTATCATGACCTCAACACTAAAGCTTGCAACTGCTCTCAGAGAGCTGATATGAAACTTCAAGGATGAACTTCACTTGAATCTCATATATGGAAGAATGTTTCCTGGTTGCTTCATTGTCTCTGGAATTTAATGCTGCTATGAGTTGTTTGATGTCCTGGTTTTTGTACTTCTGTGGGAAATTTGCTTGTTTCTCTGACCTAGGTATTTGTACAATTTCCCCCCACTATATTTGTATCAAAAAACTTTTGCCAAAATATGTCTAAGTATGACTTTCTTGTCACTGATTTTGCTAGAACACAGGAAGCCTGGGTAATCTTCATATGGAATTGGTTGAACCATTTGAATTGTTGATTTTGCAGTTCAGCAATGGTTGGATGCTGGCAATACTGTAAGACTTAATCTAATTGATCTTTCTTAAACTCACGTTCATTTCCTGTGTTGTTTTTTTAAATATATTTATAAATTTGGGAATAGATTTAAGATTTACCGAGAAATTGCTAAGATAGCACAAAGAGTTCACATATGCCCACAACAAGTCTCCGCTATTACTGGCATCTTAATTAATTAGTATGTTACATTCGTTATATTTCATAAACCAAAATTGATATATGATCATTATCTAAAGCCCATACTTTACTCAGATTTTCTCATTCCCCCCCAACTGTCATTTTCTGTCCCAGGATTCCATCCAGAGTGTTATGTGACATTTAATCATCAGGCCTTCTTAGGTTCCTCTAGGCTGTGATTGCTTCTTACACTTGCCTTGTCTTTAATGGCCTTGATAGTTTTGAGTATGTGTAGAATGTCCCTCAGTTGGGATTTGTCTGATGTTTTTCTCATTACTAGACTGGAATTTATATGTATTTCTGAAGGAAGATGACAGAGGTAAAGGACCCTTCTCATCACATTAAGGACACATACCATTCACAAGACTTATCACTGTTAATGTTAACCTTGAGCCCTTGCCATACTTCTCCACTGTCAAGTTCCTTCTTTCCCCCTCCTTCCATGTTGTCCTCTTTGGAAGGAAACCACTATGTGCAGCCCACTCTTAAGGACTTGGGGACTAAGCTCCACCTCTTTGAGGGTGAAATAATTACATAAATCATGTGGAATTCTGAACAGAATATTTGTCTGTCGTAGTGGTTATGAATAGGGCTGCTAACCTCAAGGTCGGCGGTTCGAAACTACCAGCTGTTCCGCGGGAGAAAGATGAGGCGTTCTGCTCCCGTAAAGATTTACAGCCTTGGAAACACTGTACAGGGTCGCTATGAGTCAGAACCGACTCCACAGCACACAGCCACCACCATCTCCTGTTTATGTATTTAAATTTATTTTAGTCCAATAGACTAATGGACCACATGAACATCACTCTCCACGACCCTGAAGACCAGAAACTAGATGGTGCTCAACTACTCAACTGCACTGAAAAGGATGCCAGTCCTAGAGAGAGTAGGAAAAAAATGGAACAAAGCTCAAAATTATTTAAAAACAAAACAAAACAAGACCAGGCTTTCTAGTCAGAGACTGATGGACCATAGATCCTCTAGCTTTTGGCCACACTTCACGTCTGGAACTGAACTCAGCCCTGTGGTTCAATTTCTAACCAAGCAACAGATAGATCTATAAGGAGAACAATAGTACTAATGAGGTATGCAAACCTTAGAATCATGAACCATTTGAGAGGAAAAGAGCTGTATTAACCAAGGATGAAGTTCAGAAGAGTTAAGAAAGAAGGAGGAAGGGAAACAAGAAACACACGGAGGAAGCGGGATAAGCGATGTTACATGGAGAGGATGCAATCAATGAGATGAAACAAAATGTGTAAGAACTGTCGTACGTAAAATTAATGACCTACTCTGTAAACCGTGACGCAATTCACAATAAAAAGTTTAAAACAATTTATTTACAGACTAAGGATATGTATTTTATACTCTGCGTTACAACCCAACACTACTTTATTTATTTTACTGCTCAAATTGTCCCATTGTTCCCCATTGGGAGCTTGTTCAGTTGGCTCCCATGTCTGTTTGACATTGTCTCATCCTTGGGTTTTTCTTTGAGCTTGTCCTTTGCTTTCCGGCACTGCAAGATGCTCCAGACCCATATTGTATACTTCCTGCCCTCGTCTTAGAATCCACCATTTCTCCAAGGATCCCTGGAGCCTTTCGCTGGAGTATGGTATTACAAACCAAGATCTGAGTGCTTGGTGTAATCATGCTACTGGGGATTCTATCTGCTTCTTATTTGGGTTCTGTTTCCAGCCTCCTAAATATTATCTTTTCCCTCATGGGCTTGATCTTTTTGATCATTCTCTGAATTCCAGGAAAACACCTCAAGTTTGTCCTCCACATTATTAATGGCTATTTTCCTTGGCATTAATTCTGTTCTCTACTACCTCCAAAGCAGATTTTAACGACACCATTTCATGTTTCATTTTCTTCCTTGTCCTCTGCATTTCTTTCTTTCTCCATCTTATCCAGCAGTATATCAGAGATTTGCTTATCTCTCCAGAAGTTACTACCTTTTCTTTGTTCTTAAGTACTCTGGACATAGATCCTATGCTGGGGTTGTTTGTCTAGACTGGTTTATGATTCATACCAACTCAACAAATTGCTGAGCAAACGGGGTTTGGTTAAAAATGCTGGGGAACAAAACTGACCAAGACAGAAAGCAACCTCTGCCTTCTGGAGCTTCCATTCTAGTGAAAGGAGACATGATAAAGAAGCCGGCTGGGTCAACTGAGTAGTATGTCAAATGTCCATCAGTGGAATGGAAGCAACAGAGCATAAGAAGGGGAGAAGGAGCATAAGACAGGGATTTCCATTTAAAATGAGGGATACATGGAAGCTCCTCATGGAACGGGTCGACTGAGCAGAGATTTGAGTAACACAGAGAAAGCGTCAAGTAGTATCTGGGGGAAGAATGCTCTGGGCAGAAGGAGACTGAGCATTCTGTCCTCCATCCTGCTCTCTGTGTTTTAGGTGATATTGAATGCTTCTTCAGAACCCTGGGGTATGTGCAGCAGTGGAGAAGTCTGGCCCCTATCACCTTCCAGCTGGGTGAATTCCTTAACGTCACCTCAAGTCCCCCACCTATGAAATCTGAATACAAAACTCCCCTCACTTTAAGGGCTCTGGGGAGAAGAACCCAAAGAGCTGGTGAAGGTCGAGGCTCCACATGGAACCTGGCCCTCAGTCAGTTCACCAGGAAGACAGCTGCTATTTTTATCATTGTTAATAATACTCCTACTTATGTTATTATTACAACCAAAGGCAGGTGATGAGCAGAGTGCCCAGTTCCATGCTGATTGCATGCTAACTTTCAACCAGTGCCTCTGTGCCACACACAAAGGCTCTTTGAACTTGAAAGCCCCCAGAACTCCTCAGGGTCTCTGAGGCACAGGAGCTGTTTTAAGTGCTTGCCCTGGGGAGACACCCTGTGGAGCTGAGAGTGTCATTGTAGCTCCAATTCCATCCCTCACCCATCTGCATCCCCAGGTGCTCCCTGTGGGTCACTTCCTGAATCCTCCAGGCTCTAAAGAGTCAGTCTTCTCGCATCCCTCAGACTACAAGCCCTGAGGTGGAAGAGCTTGGAAGACCCCAGTCCAGCCCGGCAGGCTGTGGCTGGTCCTCTCATCTCCTGACCCTGTTCCCTCATTTTCAGAGACCCCCCACCCCACCCCAGGGCTGCTGTGAGGATGGAACATGGCACGCAGGCAGTGTCTGCTTCCCAGAAGGTGTTAAAAAAATGGTGTATTGCTTCCCTTGCCCCCGATCTCTGGGCCTCAGTCTCCTCATCTGTGAAATGGCAGCTTGGAAGGCAGGAGTCTAAGTAGCCACCCGTCAGACTGGTATGACCTGTGATTCAGTCTGTCCAAGACAGGAACAGTACCTGGCATCTGAGGTCTCCATGCAGATGACTTAAAATGTGGGTGCAAGGGATGGAAGTGAGGAAAAGAATAGGATCACAGCTCTGTTTTGGTACCTCTGTTTTGGTACCTGCACACAGAGCTCCAGCAGCATCCCACTGCCCTGAAGTGTAAAGATCACATTTAGCTCAGCTCAGCATTCGAGGCCAGTGGAAACAGACTCCAAACTCTGTTTCCAGCTTCAACATCCCTCCCAGATAAGTCAGCCTCTGAGGAATCCCTGCTGATCCCCATAAGCAGCCAGCCTGCCCTCCAAGCCTTACCCCTCCTTCCCCTGAGGGCCTCCTGCAGGCCCAGATCCTGCCTGCCCCCCAGGGACCCAATCAAAATGGTCACTTCTTTGGAGCCTTTTCCCTCTGCCCAGTTGAGATGAATCATGTCCTCCCCTTTGTTCCTGTATCCCCTGAGAGGTATCTGTCTTCCTCACACCGCTGTGAGCTCAGGAGAAGATCTAGCACATGAAAGTTTTCTGAATAGACAAATGAAAGTTAGAGACCTATTTACAAGTGGGCAAACTTTGGGAGGCCCCTTTCTGCCCCTTAGGTGATGGTCACCAGACGGAGGTCAGGACCCAGAGGATTTGACCCCAGCAATAATACCTGGGTTTGGGACATGATATTTCCTTCCTCCAAGCCTTTTCAAAGCAGAGATGGGAATGATGCAGGGCCCTGCTTGCTGCTCAGACTGGGCTGGGAGAGAGAACGTCACTGTGTAAGTTCTAAATTACTGTGTACCTGGCTATCAGACCTTTGGCCAGTGCTGGACAAGAAACCAGGGACAAGCCAGGGAAGCCAATGTGGACAAAACAGAAGAGCCCAGCTTGAGGCTCTTTCATAATCATGGCATTTAGGGAGCCCAGGAGTGCTGGCGACCCCAGTTGTCTGTCGCTCAGATCAGAGCCCACTGTACCTTCAGCTTTTTCACACTGGTGCAGGGATCGTTGGAGAAGCTCTCTGTGTCCGAAATCTCGATGTCCTCGCCATATAGAACCCCCGTCAGGTCGTTCCTCACCTATCAGCAAAGACAAAGCAGAAGGTAGGTGTGGAGGCGGCCACCCTGGGGAAACAGCTCAAACGAGTGAAGTGATTCATCTACCAGTTCTCTACTTCCTGACACAGGAAAGGACTGTTGAGATTTTGTTCATTATAACCTAGTGCTCAGTGGGACCAGTCTATTCCTTATTACACCTGCATTTGACACTTGGGTCCAAGGAGGTCAAAGAAGGGAAGGGCTTTTCAAGGTTGCCAGGAGTTCCTAGGTGGTACAAATGTTTAACACGCTTGTTGGTGGTTTGAGTAGGGGACAGCCCCACAGGTTGCAGACCTAGCTCTACCACCTTCTTCCTGTGACCCTTCCCCTCTCTGGGCCTCAACTCTTTGTCTTTGAGAGAAGATGATCCTTAAAATAGTTCTCATTTTCAACGGTTGGTGGATCCTTCCTATGCATGTAGCAAAGTGTTTTGAATAAGTTGGCCCTAAAAGTCACAGGAAACCAGGATGGTCACTGGAAGCCACCACCTTCGAAGGAGAACAAAGGGAATGTCAATGGAAACTGCTGTATTTTATTTCCTTAAGAGAAATCTGAAGCAAGTGGAGCAAAATATGAACATTTATTAAGTCTGAATGGTGACTTCATGGGTGCTCGCTATTTTCTTTGTAACTTTTCTGAATGCTTGAAATACTTCATGATCAATGGTTTCTAAAACGAAAGAAATTGCCGCACTCAGGGTGAACCTTGTCCATTGTAGTTTTTACTGCAATTTTAATGAAAGATTGGGAACGAGTTAATTGGAAAAAAAAAAAAAAAAAAGCTGATTTTTACCATTAAATTTATTTCTGCCACCTCAAATCCTTTTTTTTTGGATGCCAGTGGGATCCCATGATTAGTGTTGTGCACCATGTTGTAGAGCAAAAGCAATGATCAAACACAGAAAACATGCAAACAGGTCTTGGCACCGACAGAAGGCAACACATCTCAACACACACACTATATTGGCTGTACCCAGCCAAGCCTTGACTCTCCATTCACAAGTTATTCAACGTAAAGGAAACCATTCAGCCTCTCTTCAGGCTGTCTTGTCATCTGTAAAATGGGGACAAAACAGTATGTAACTCACAGGTTATTCAAGACCCAACAAAAACCATGAAGATGTGAAATGGCTCTGAAAACACTGAGGTCTGCATACTGCTTAAAAGCTGGCATTATTGCTTTCAGGCATCCGGCAAGGCATCAAGTGGTCAATGGCTTGGAGAGTATATATGTGCATCTGTGTGTGCATAAAAGCTGTATATAATCATGTGGTGTAGTGAACGGTTTATATTTCTCTTCTAACCTCAGTCTTTGTAACTCCCACCAAACAACTCTTTTTGTGATGGGCTTGAGTAAGAGAAGGTGGGAAAAGATACTGATGGGATGACATGGTTCAGCTGTGGGTGTTAACAGAGTTAACTGTAGTTGTAAAAACCTGAAACTTTAGCATGGATTAAAAAAGAACCATCTCAGAAGCATGAGTGGGGGAATCCCATGCATCAAAGAACAGGCCCCAAAGCCCCTGTACATGGACCCTCCTTGACCCAGAGGCAGAAAGCTAAGACACTGGAGGACTGGAAGGGGAGCAGCAGCAGCAGAACCAGGAACCAGAACACGAGACACAGTGGCAGGCTTCCCAGCACATGGAGTAAGTCAAGCTGAGTAACTTTGGGCAGGAGCCTTGCTTGCAGAGTGGGTGTTTCCAGGCACTTAATATGGGAGCTAGGTTTGCTAGAGCTGAGTGCCTTTAGGCTGAGGCTTATGGTGGAGTGGTATGACCTGTCGACATTTATCAGTAGCTCCAAAAGAGTCTTGTAACATTGGCCAGGCAGAGAGAGGCATGTTTGTGGGCACAGCTAGGAAAGGCTGTCCTGACTGGAAGAACAGTGCCCTGAGCATTTTCGAATTCTGCATTGTAATCTGTTAACTTCCCTGATAAATCCCAGAACTGACAGTATGATGTCTGAGTCGTGTGTGGCCATTGCAATGAATTCTTAAACCCTGCAGAGTAGAGAAGGCCATGGGAAGAATGGCTGAGTTCATTATTACAATTTTTCTTTTTTGTGTGTGCAAATTATGGCAGAACAAAATAAATACTTTCCATTCAGTGCTAAACACAAACACAAACAAAACATCTTAGAGTCGTCTCATCTCACTCCTAATTGAACAGATGAGGACACAGAGGTGCAATGCTCACATTACCATGCCAACTTTTCTAAGAGAATCTGGATTCCATCAGATGTGGACAGTTCCCCAAGCCCTATGAGCCAGGAAGGGTCAGAACAGATGGCTGGTGCAATCAGTCACTCGCTGCCTATAATTTCGGCACCCAGGAGTCTAAAGTCAACTGGAGTATTTAGTCTAATGGACTTTTATAGAGAAAGCAAATGGAGGAAATAACTAATATATGGCATTTTTAAATAACTGAAGTATGGAAAAGAAAGTGTAGAGTTGATCTTTCTCAAAAGGAAAGAAATCTATGTCCTTACTATGGATAGGAGGATCTTTGAGTGCACTAGTCAAAGTGAACTGGAAATATTTGAAAGCACCTTCTCAAAATGCATGCATCTCTTGTTTAACAGAATCAATGTTTTTCTGCAGTTTGCTACAGACTGTATTTCTGTTAAGTGAATCCTATTTTCCTTCCTTCCTTCTTTCCTCCTTTCCTTCCTATTTGGAGTCCTGGTGTGGTACTGTGGGTTAATGCGCTGGACTGCAAAGTCAGTTTGAACCATAATGTAGGCAGGTCAAGCTCACCAGCCACTCCTCGGAAACCCTGTACAGGATCGCTATGAGTCGGAACCGACTCAAAGATACTTAACAACAACATTTTTCTATTTACATCCCTTATAAAAGTGGAAATATGTTTTTCTGGGACAGAAGTAGCCCTTAGGCCCCAAGAAAATTTACATACACATACATGCAAAATACATATAAGTCCCTGGGGGGCTCCAATGGCTAACATGGTTGGCTGCTAACCAAAAGGTTCAAAGTTCAAGGCCATCAGATCTGACTTAGAAAAAATAGCTGATGATTTACTTCCCCCAAATCATCTGTTAAGAACCCTATGAGGTAGACAAGGGAGAAAGTCATGAAAATTTCTTAGACATTACAAAACACTTTGAGGGAATAAGTTGCTTAGTCTGGGGATTCAGTATCATAGTCTTGGGGGACACCATAGCCGATTAGTGCAGCATAGTCCACAAGACAGTGTTCTAAATCCTACTTTGGTGGATAGTGACTAGAAACAGTCAACTAAGGTGCAACGATTAGTCTCTTTCCATTGGAAGAAAACAAAGAATTAGGAAATGGAAGATGCTTAGAAACAATTCGTCCAATGGACTAATGGATCACATGAGCATCAGTCTAGAACTAGATGGTGCCCAGCTACCATGACCAATTTCTCTGAAAGGGATCACATTAGAAGTCTAGGTAGAGTGAAAGAATATGTGAAACAAAATCATCAAAAAGATCAGGCTTATTGGTCAGATAGAAGCTGGTGGAAGCCCAAGACTATGGCCCTTGGTTATCCTTCAGGACTATAACTGAGCTCACCCCTGTGGCTGAAATTTCAGCCAAGTAATAGGTAAATATTGAAGAACAGCAACACTCATGAGGAATGCACACCAGAGAAAGGCCAACCATTCGAGATCAGATGAGCAGCATTTACCAAAGGACAAAGTTCAGAAGGGTTGAGAAGGAAGGATGGAAACAAACACAGTGAGCAAGTGGGACAAGATGTTACGTTGTGGGGACTGTAATCATTGAGATGAAATGAAGTGGATGATCTGTTGAATGTAAAACTGATGATTGTAAACCTTCACTCAATTCACAATAAAAAGTTAAAACACAACACCTCATGAATCATAGTCTGACAGACATGGGGCCACTGATTTGATGGTAACTGGTTTTGTTGCGGCTGTTAGATGCCATCGAGTCAGTTCCAACTCATAGCATGTACAAAACAATGAAATACTTCCTGGGCCTGCACCATCTTCATCCAAGGTTTACTGGCATACATACAAGGAAGTTTCAAAAGTTTGTGGGAAAATTCCATTCTTTTTTATTTCTGTATTTTCCATGAAGCTTTGGAAGTCCCCTCGTGTGTGTGTGTGTGTACCCCACAACCTGCATACTGAGCCACCAGGGTTTACTGATGGGCCCTGGACATCCAGAGACAGATGGGGAGAAATGGATGTTGATGGGGAAGGGAGAGGACAGAGAAGAAACTGTACTGCCACCTGGAAATGAGAACCAGGGGGTGGGAGACCTGGACTAAGAAGGGGAGAAAGGCTTTACGCCAGGGATAAGAAAGGGGAATTGGAAGGGGGTGGACAGGGGTAAGGTCAGGGCCATTATGGCTAGTTCATGGGCCTGAGACATCCAAGGCAAACTCACCCCTCTTTTGGGCACAAAACAAATCTACAAGGAGCTGAAGTCACTAGGCACCAAGGATAGGAATGGGTGGGTCTGAGTCCCAGACATTGTTGTTGTTAAGTGCCATCGAGTCGGTTCCAACCCATAGCGACCCTGAACAGGGTTTCCGAAGCTTTTAAATCTTTACAGGAGCAGAAAGCCTTATCTTTCTCCCGCGGAGCAGCTGGTAGTTTTGAACTGCTGGCCTTGCTGTTTTGCAGCCCAATTCGTAACCACTACGCTACCAGAGCTCCTTGAGCCACAGGCATAAATAACTGGAATTGGAGGTGTAGGGTCAAAGCTGTTGATTTCATTTTATTTTCTCAAAGACAGAAGCGTATACCAGAAAGCACCTAAGGCAATGCTTCTCCAAGTGTGGCCCCTGGACCAGTAACATCTGCGTCATCTGGGAGCTTGCTAGGAATGCAAACTCTTGGGCTCCACTCCAGGCCTCCCCCCACCCACCCTCCACGAGGGCCAGGAGCCAGTGCTTCAATCAGCCCTCCAGGTGATTTTGACGCAGGTAAAGTTTGAGACCCACTGTCCTAAATGGAGTAGGATCAGTT